TATATATATATATATATATATATATATATATATATATATATATATGAGACAGAATATTCAATTTTTGTAAGAGGTTATGTTGCCATAAAGTTCGACGAAAGTATTTAATTAACCGCAAAGTAATTAATATAGTTAATATATATATATAGAAAAACGTGAGAAAGTATCACGTGACAATCAGTGTCGAGACCAATTGGACTCACAAAGATTTACAAAGTTTTACAAAGTTCGAACAAAACAGATAATTCTTCGACCAAGCGTGCGAATATTTTCGTCCGAAAAGCAGTTGGTTATTTTTAATCTGGTAAGTTTCATTGGAGACAGCGACAGGGTTGAGAGACTCGACTCAGCGAGAGGAAACCGGAAGGAAGGGGAGCCGCGAGTTTCGTATGTACGAGTCGGCGCCACAGGTGGTTTCCCCTCTTTTGAATTACGCGCCCTTTGCATACGCGGCTGACTTCGCCTTGCAATTCACACGACCTGTGACCTAACCTTTTTGGCGTCGACCAAAAGAAAAAGAAACTGATCTCGAGCGAAATGTTTAGCCAAACTGAAGTTATAAAAAAAAAAAAAAACATTGTAAAATTGAAATTAAAAAAAAAAAAGTAATCTAATTTAATTAAAGTTACAAAAATGAACGAGCTACTATGTTTCTGAGAATAAGTAAATAATTATTCCATGACGCACAACATAAGTCACATTAACTTAGCCACAACGACGTTGTCGTCCTTGTTTCGACACTGAAACGATTGACAAAGAGAAAACGAGCTTGAATCACGTTTCGTGATACGAAATACAGTCGCATCAGAAATCATTCTAGTTAAATTTCGAATTACCAATTGGGGGACGACACGAGTCGTGAAAGTGGTGTTCCTTCAATTAGGGAGAGACTGACTTCGAGAAACATGATTTCTATTAAAGAGACACCTTCTTGAGAAGCTCTTGAAAGTTGAAATTTTATTATTTATCACGGTAAGTAAACAAATGTCCATTGTTATCTGCACACACAGAGAAAGAGAGAGAAAGAGCACGCGCGTTTTGCATTCTCGGATCATTTAAGCAAATAAACATGTTTTGCTACGCGGGGCCGCGTTAATTGAACGTGTTCCGCATCATGCTGAAGCCGCTTGTTATTTTCAACGAGCGTGCAATGTTTGTTGCTGTCGGGATATTGTTAATCTGCAAATTCGTAAAAAAAAAAAGCTGGAACAAAGTTGCTCGGTCTATTTTCTAATTAAAACTGTAGATCTGCCGATAAAATTCTGATGAACTCTGGAAAGTAATGGAATGGAATTCTCTTCTGGATTTCAAAAAAAAAAAAAAAAGAAAAAAATGTTCAAACGTACGTCGATCGGGAAACATTGGCCGTGTAATTTTCATCATTCGACGCGCTCTGATTTGATTGAAAATAAAAAAAAAAAAGCGGGAAATGCAACGAAACGTACTGAGAGTTTAACGAGAGAGGGAGAGACGTAACGAAATCTCGACAAAATTACGGACAACTTAATATTCCCTATTACACGCTCGCGCGGCGCAGACATTTTGCAAATTTATTCTCGTACGCGTAATTGAATCGTTGTTTAATCGAATACACGTTGCGACGGGGCGACAACCGCAGCGTCGAATTAATAAAGTGAAAACCCGCCGTGAAAAAGTTGCGTGTAACGAGTGAACGA